AATATATTTTCTTTAAGTTTAATCTATGCAGTTAAATACTTATCAACTCAATTATTTATTGTAACTTCAGAATTATAGATCTGTGGCTTTTGTAATAATTTATGACATGATGCACAAGACACAAAATAGGCTGATCCGGTATTAAGATCTCATTTAATTAATTAAGCTTTAAAAGTATCTAAGATAAAGCAAGGAAAGAAATTACCCAACGTATTCAGCTTTGTCTTCCGAAAGAGTACGTTGCCTGGTCTATGACATACGTTTGCAAAGCCAGTACGGTATACGGCACAATATCTACGGAAACAAAGTCTTCTGGGCAGAGCAAAAAGTTAATGAATGCAAGAGCACTAACCTGGGATTTTTGTTTTCCGTGAAGAACACAGTAGTAAGGCAAAATATTTGCACTCAAATGCCAAAGGGCATCTGGAAGGCAGGTGAAAAGTCTTAAGTTGCTGGGGTTGAGGTACCAGAAAACAGGACTTCAGCAGAGCGGATCACTAATTCATACAGGAAAGTGAAATAATTGAATTCAAGCACAGAGGTCTCTTCTAGGAGCCTCAGCAGTCCAACAAGAAAACAAGCAGGAGCATTGCATCATATTGCACGTTCCATTCTGCAACCCATGGTGACCCAAAGGAGTAATAAAAACAACACAAATCTTTCTATCATAAGCCAGTGCTCCTCCTGTTTCTTCCTTTTAAAGTAACATCTTGTACAAACATGCTTTTTGTGACAGACCAAGACAGGTATACGGTTAATGTTTACACAGAAATGGCTGTGCTTTCTTAAAACCCTATTCAAAGCAGGTGTATGGCAAATATTTTGAATAAACAGCTTTCAATCTGCTGTATCTATGAAAGATGGGAGCTCTTTAAGTCTGCCAGAAAAGATTGCACAACTCCAGCTGCCTGCAAGTCTGTGGTTACATACATTATAGCAAGAAACATTTTGGCAACAGGATTGTTTTGCAGGAATGTTGTTCTTTCCTGGAAGAACAGAGGGGCTGAGTGCCATGTTCCTTAATTTGGGCCCCTCTCATCTTAAATTTTTTTTTGCCAGAGCAGTGTTAACAAACTACAGCCTAAACCCCAGAAAGCATATTTTCTAGAATGCATAATTACTTTCACTCTGAAATTTGAACTTGAGTTTGTCCTCTTTCTGATTTCGGGCAGCAAACTTGTTTTCTGATTGTGCATTATGCTGAGGGACTCTGTTATCATACCACCTTTATATTGTCCAGGTATCTCCCTCCTGAAGCAGCCTCAGCCCTTTAATTCTGTAGAAGCTGCCTGAAAAACAACATTTTCTGCATGAATGCATCCCATATTACTATTGGTGTGACCCTTGTGGATACATCCTACTGGACATTAGCCACAGATTTACAGGAACAGAACGTAAATCAACATTGAGCAATCATAAAGCATGCACTGTGTGAAAACCACTTTTTTCTTGCACATGTCTTCTGTGAACACAAAATCTAGTTCCTTTGCCAAGGAAGATTACACTTAATCTTGCATTTTAAGTAAGCAGGATGGATAACGCAAAGAAGTGAATGTGACTGCCTTTGTAACAAGTTTATTGATTTTTATAGTCTTGCAGGATTTAACAAGAACTTTTGAAGTGAGGCTTCTCCTGTACCAAATTACTGCTCATAGCAATTCTTCTGTGTGTTATAGTTACATATACACACACACTTGCTTATGGAACAACAAAGTGAGGTATGCTTGCCTGAATAAACCTGTGACACTTCCTGGTTTCTTGCCCACACTTCCATTACATTCTCAGGAAGGCTTTTCATACTCTGCACAAGTCTTGGAAGCAAGACTACTTAAAATTATTTCCAGATCCCTCTTCATTCTTACCATTGCCCAGCTGCAGCAAACAACTCAGCTGCACCTCTGCTAAGTCCTCTGCTTTCCCCAGTTCCTTACCTCTGCCTTAGCGCTCAGCCACCACCAGCTCCTGCAGTCCTCATCTACAACAGATGCACTTATGCTTAACCCCGATTGAAAACACACTGCCTAACACCATTAGCTGCAAGAGTCTGTATGACCAACAAAAGTAATCTTGGTAAAATCAGATCTTTACTTACTTTACCATGAAGTTGATGCGGGACAGAACATAGCTCACAGACCATGCCAAGAAACTTCTACCAACCATGTTAACTCCAGGTATGGGAGCAGAACATGAGGATCAGCCACTACTGAGTGACTAGGTGCTAAAGTGGCAAATGAAATCTAGTACTAACAAATGCAAAATAATATGTGCGGTCCTATGCTTCTATTTGTCCCCTTGTACCTGTAAAAAAGGCATTTCTACATGCATATTTTGAAAGGCTTTCAAAAAGCTGTTGTGACTCAGAGAAAAGCTTGTATTGTCAGTCTGAAACATCAGCAGCATTTTCCCCTGAGTGAAAAAGCTGAAAAACTGTTAGGAATTGCTATGAAGAAGTGAAGAGTGTACAAAATACTCTTAAAACAACTGTAAAACAACAGAAGCCTCAGACTTTGGCTCATGTTGACTCATACATCTATCTCCACACATTCTGTGTGTATCAGGTACACGACTTCCAACTCCCTTTCCCCATGCCTACCCCAAAGCATTCTCCTTATGTCTTCGTCTATATCCTTCAAATCCTGACTGTGGCTGCTTCCTCTCCCATTTCACTCAAGGAAATCTGTGTGTGCCTAACATGTTGGGGAGGGCAGGTTTAAGTTGCCCAAAGAGGTGGTATCTGATCCATGATCCCTGGAAACATTCAAGGTCAGGTTAGACAGGACTCCGAGCAACATGATCGAGTTGAAGATGTCTCTGACCATGGCAGAAGTGTTGGACTAGGTGACCTTTAGAGGTTGCCTACGGTCCAAATTATTCTATGATTCTACTCCCTCATGGAGTGATGCTCAGGGTCCAGGAAAAGAAGAGGGAGATTGGATGGAGTTTTTCAACTGAGTGGCCTCAGGGTTTCCTTGGAAGGCTGAGCTTTGGCTAGAACACTCATAGCCTTACAGATGTGGGCATTTTCAGGACTGGGGGTAGAAAATAACTTTTCCTGCAGCTGTGCCACCTCTGGGTGATGACACATGAAGGCAACCAGCCCACAGCAATTGCAGCAGCCTGACAGCACCATTCCTGAATGTGACTCTGTAGGCCATATTTATCCTTATAACTATTCAATGATTCTAAGCTAGTTTGTACCACCAAGCAAGTCAGTGGGGAGACTTTAGAAAGCAGCAGGATGCTCTTTGCCCTCACCCAGCTGTCTTACAGTTGGTCCTCATCTTTTACGTCCAACGCTTTCTCTCCACTATAATGAGACTGGTGGGTGGAAAACTACCACAGTTGGCAGCACCTGGCATAGCTTTGGAATCTATCCCACTTGTCCCCCAGGGCTCCCCCACCCATCCTTTCATGGCTTCTGGGTCAGAGCAGCTCACAGACTCCGGCAGAAAAGCAGCAGCAGGCTCACTGGCAGGTTGCAGAACAGACAGAGGCCAGTGACTGCAAAGGGGTTGCAGCAGCACTGAAAAGGTCACAAATTCAGACCAGTCTGCCAGCCTGTACACGGCATGTAGAGCTAGGAAGGATGGCATCTTGCTGTGACCAAGCTCTGTTTGCTCTAAAGCACAAGTTGCTTTCAGTGAGCTGGGAAATGGGAAGAAGGTGCAGATCCCCAGACATGAGATATCAGATGCCACCTGGCAGGCCAAGGCATTTTACACATAGCAGGAATGCTTTTACCTTCTTACACGTAGTGTAAAATAACAAATTATTAAGTTTGCAACTCATGCAGACCCTCTTACAAGAACAAGATATAATCTTTTAAAGACATACCCCTAGAGAACCCTCTGTTCTTATAGTTAATAAAACCACAGTTCAGGAAAGCTCTTAAAACATGGTGAATTTTGGACTCCCTGCTAGACATCATTAGGTTTGCTCTAGAAAAAAACAAAAAAAACACAGCTAGTCATTGCTTCATGATCCTGGTCTCAACTTTCCAGTTTGCATTTTCTAGCCTCCACAGAGAAGCAGGATAAAAGGCACATTCCAAGTTTATACCAAATACTTACTTTATTAAAAAGAATTTTAAACCACTCCTTTTCTGTGCAATACACTGAACTCTTGTGATTCAGTTCACAAAATTAATAAAGGTGTTGAAAAAGTAAGCTGTTGGCAATTAGTAATGACCACACCGAAGCTTGAATCAATGCAATGCGGCAGATCTCACATCTCTATAGGTTTTGAAACAGCCATCACTTACCGAATTTTATACAGTGTTAGCAGAAATTGAAATTATTTATTAGTGCTTGCAAAAATAATCTGCCTGTGCTGCATTCTGACAAATTAAAACCAGTAATTTTTTTACTTGTTTTGAAGTCACCTAGATAAAGTCACTAAGGTGTTCTGAAATGAGCTGAAAAAAATTCCACATACCTTTTTTTCTCAGGTGGCCCCATTTGTGCCTCAACCTGTTGGCATTATCCTTCAGAAAAAAAATGATGGCAGAGATGTTCTCCAGAGAAGGTTAAGGCAGGTCATGGCGGGAGAGACCCATGCACACCACTTCCAGCTTGGCAAGGCAGGGCAGTGCATGATTGTTCCTTGCACAGACCCAACTACTGCTCGTCATATAAATACTAAAAACACAATTTAATTAGAAGGTTGATCCAGCAACATGATTTTGTGGCAGATGACAAAGGTAAGGGAGGTATTAACCAAGGAAATGTAAAAGAGGTATTAACTGAGGATGCCCTTATATAACCTCTACCTGGATCTCATCCTGCTATGATTTCAAGAATAGTTTAAGCAGTTGCAACCAAATAATGCAAAAGGCTGTAGTTGCAGCCTTTCTAATGTATCAGTTCTGAGCAGAACAAAGATGACAAGCATAATATCTTCCTTGCCCTCAAGGCTTCTCTTTGGACTGACACTCTGCTTGTGCAGTGGTCTGAAGTGCTTGCTGTGGCAATAAAATGGTGAAAACAAAACAATAAAAAAAATCCTGTAAAAATGCAATGCAAACTTTATTACACACACAGCATAATAACCCCAGAATAGAGCACCTAGATTATTTCCCTCCTCTATGGCAAAGAGCAGATGGAGGGAGAAATACAAATACTGCACGTTGAGATGAGCTGTCTCAGTCCTGTGAGGCGAAAGGAAAGGCTATGTACAAACAGCATATATGTAAAATAGGGAACATTTAATGTTTTTCTTTGTCATGTATAAACAAAACAGTTCTAAAAAGTGAGTCAAAGAGTGTAAAATGTTCGGCTTTATGACTGCACTCCAACTGGTTAACCGGTCACTCACCAAATGCAGGCTAGATGAACTCAGCGTCATTTCTGAGACTACAAAGGCATAGTGAGGACAAAGCAACACATATATAAAACTACTATATAGAAACAAGAGTCATGTTGTAAGAAATATTCACATGGCTTCATATAGAGAGAATAAATTTAAGGATGCAGTTTTTGAGAATTAGATACAATGTCTGGATAAGGTTGAAGTCCTAGCTGTTTGTTATCTTTCAACTTTTGTACTACAATGATGGCAAACTCCTCTCCTTGGCTGTCTGAAGTATCAAGCAGTTGTCGTACTTTTGATGTCCTTGTAGGTTTGGTGCTTATAAGTTCATAATCTTCTTTCATGAGTAAAGATTTTGCTAGAAGAGCATCCAGTGATTGATTCAAACATGCTTCAGTCATCTGATCAACAATTTCTTCTCTTTTACTTTGGATCCATTGATGAGCTTCATTCTGCTGTCTGGTTTCCAATTCAGAATTTGAGACTGGAGAGGATTAAAAAAGCAGAAGGGATTGTAACTGTCTGTCAATAAATGTTGCCATAGAACAAAGAAGCAGCTAAGAAAGAGCTCCTAAAGGGTTCCAATTTGTCAAATTTGGTGGTGAGATTATCTTTTCTATCTGAATTACAGAATAATTTAGGTTGGAAGGAACCCTCAAGGAGGTCATCTGGTCTAATAGCCTGCTCAAAGCTGGGCCAACTTCAAGCATAACTAAGGTTGCTCAAGGCCTTGTCCAGCTGAATTTTGAGCATTTCCAAGTGATGGTACTCCTGCAGCCTCCACAAGCAACCTGTTCCAGTGTTCAACCTGACCTGGTACTAAAAAGAGAGAGGTGGTAAATTCACTTTCCAGGGGATTTTTATTGAAGTTTACTGAAAACATCCCTGTAGCTTCCTGGTATTTTCCTCAAGATAAGGATTCACACAGTGAAAAGGTGTCAGCTCTCCTATTTCCAGAAGAGGGATGATGCAACAGATCTTTATAAAATTGCATGTTATTGTGTGTTCCCTCAAAAAAATGTATTTCTGAATAAGTCATCATGCATTAAAATTTCTTTGTGTTAATTTTTTGGAAGCACATTTATAACATTATTTGATGGATAGGAATATAATGTAGTGGGCTCTTGACTAACACAGAGGATGTTAGTTGAGATTCTGTGTGAATGCTGACACAGCTGCTGCTTTCTCTTTGCCTCACCATTACTGAACAGAAGGCTGACAGGCCTAAAAAGTGAGAAGTGACAGGCAACAGAGATGACTACTTCAAGGTAAGTTTTTTCCCTGTTCTGCTGGACTGCAGCACTGCTCCAGCAGTGGAAAAGAGATGGAAAACAGTTCCAGTTTCCATTTCATACACACTTATATTTGATGTTAGAACACTTACTGTTGGTCTTGGAATTAAATAGTGTTTGCTGTACCTGAAGGAATCGGTGACGACTGCAGTATACATGATGCAGAATTTGAGGCATTTGAAATACTCCTTTCAAATGAGGGAACATTACTGTATGGATGCACAAGAAGTTTGGCACTCTGAGTTACAAAGATATTTTCATCCATGCTCTGGCTGTTGAGAGAGTGTAGACACCCAGAATTTCCATCTTAGAAAAACAAAAAAAGGAGAAAAAAAAAAAGAGCAAGATGTATTATTTCTATGTTCAAATAAAATAAAGCCATCAGAGACTATTTAGAGCAATTCCATAAAACAACTTATAAACAAACTACTTTCACACTATATACAACATGTTAGTCCTTATATTCAAGTTCTGAGTACATTTATATCCCTTATATTGTACCAGGGCTTGACCATGGGTTTGGGGGTCCTGTTTTATTTTAAAGAAGCATTGAGACTATAAATCTGGTAGATGTGAACTTTAATGAAAAAGCTCCGTCTGACAGAAATTTTTTGTCAGGGACTAGAAGAACAAAATAAATCCTTTGAGTATCTAGAGAAGTAACTAGAAGTCAACATGAAAGCAGACTTATTTATTTTTATGAAGTTTGGCAGCACAACGAAGGGGATAACATTAAAAGAAAGATTCAGGTGAAGGAAAAGGACATGTTAACATTCAGTAGGAGGCCAATGGAAGCTTTTTGCAGTCCATATAAACATGATATGACTTCAAGAAAGCTTCATGTAAACATTTGCAAATAAAGAAAAAAAGTATTTCTATCAGGTGGGAATCTTAATAGTTTCTAGTTTTAGGACTTCTTTATAGTAGAAAAGGATGATGGGTGTGAAAGCAGCAGTAGGAATGACTCAAGGAAGAGATGACAAACAGCTGATGAGAAATATAGTACAGGACATATGCCTTATTCTGTAAACAGTTTTCATTACCGACTTTCACAGTGTCACTTGATAAAGAGATGTTAACTAAGAACCAGAGAGATGCAGATATAAGAATTCAGATGAACATCTAAAGACAAAATGAGGTAGCCCCATGGACAACTCGGGATTACCTGTCCAATGGGGGAATCTGAAGGTGTATTCCCAGTTCACTGTGGACCTGTAGAAGAATATGTCTATAAGTACATGGAGCAGGAATAGGAAAATGAGGAAGAAATTACATTCTAAGTATTTTAAAAATAGTGGACTAGAACTCACAGTAACTAGTATTTTATTTCATGAACAAGAGAGAAAGGTGGGCAGAGGTATGTAGTGTGAAGCAGCAGATATTATCTACTGCATGAATGAGAAAGAATTAGACAACCACTGTGAATGAAAGATGATTTTAGAGAAGTGTTTTAAGCAGCTCTGCTGGGATAGATTGTTATAGATCCTTAGGCACACACGCTTAATTTAATAACATAAAGATAAAACTACTGGGAGTTTACTGATATGAATGACCTAGACCAGTGATCACAGCATAAAAAGTATAATCATAAAAACACAGAATCGTTTAGGTTGGAAAGAACTGAAGATCATAGAGCCCAGCCATTAACCCAGCACTGCCAAGTCCACCACTATACCATGTCCCTTAGTGTCACATCTATATGTCTTTTGAGTATCTTCAGGGTTGCTGACTCAACCATTTGCCTGGCCAGCCTGTTCCAATGCTTGACAACCCTTTTTGTGAATAAATTTTTCCTAATATTCAATCTAAACTTCTCATGGTGCAACACAAGGCCGTTTCCTCTCATCCTATTGCTTGTTAATATTGTTTGTTGTTTAAGAGACCAACCCTTACCCGACTCCAACCTCCTTTCAGGTAGTCGTAGGGAGCAATAAGGTCTCCCCTGAGCCTCCCTTTCTCCAGGCTAAACAACCCCAGCTCCCTCAATGCTAATGAGATTTATCCAGATGTCATTCACAAAAAAACCCCAAGTTAACACAAGTTATTTAGAAAGAACGTAGTTGACCTAGAAGACTGAAGTGATAGAAGTGGAAATTCAGAAGGAAAATATGAGATTTAAATTTTCTGCTTCAAGCAGGGCTAATTATTGGAAGCGAGATGAGGAAAAAAAACCCGAGGTAGACTGTTCTGTAAAAAAGGATCTTGTGAGAAAGGAAAAATACAATTCTAAGGTATACTGAGTAAAGGGATTTTTTAAGACAAAGAACCATTTGTCATAGTACTAAGTAGAGGTCTGGTACTCTTAGTTTAATCATTTAAGTTAGAATATGCATGAGGAGGACTAGAAGCATACCAGGAGAATAAAGAAATATATTTTACAAAGGGACTTCAGAAGTTCACCTAGCAAAACAGAGTATATTAAAAGATTACTCTCTAAACCAGAAACAAAATGGGAAGAGGGAAAAGAGCTATTCAAACTAAAAGAAATGCCCCAAAAAAGCTTGCTACGGAAGGGAAAAAAACCCCCTTAATTTATGTCCTTACTTCATAGCAGTGAAGTCAATTTTTTGCCTCCTTTCACATTACTGATCCCTGCAAAGCCAGAGGATACTCCATTCTTTTGCAATATGTTTGCATTCCATCAAGGGAATAAACTTAAATGGAGTTTTAGTTTCACAATATATTGCTATTCCACCTTGGTCCCATTGCATTTTCCTGGCTTCTCATGTCATAACTTCAAAACTGAGTTTTCTCAAGGGATTTTGCCAACTTTTATTTAGAAAAAGGGACAGCTACAAAAGGTCTGTGCAGATACTTTTGCAAGGCAATCTATTAAAGCCATTTTTATTAATTGAATTTAAAATGATCTAGAAGTTGAGCTGCACTGAAAACTTTGAGTTTACTCAGCTTCAAGAATGCCTCAAAATGTGTAGCCTTTTTATATTTAGAAGTAGTTCACAGATTAAAAAACAAAGAAAAAAAAGGTAGTTAACTAAGCCACCAGGAGTTTTAGGGACAAGTAAATGTCATCTCTGCACTAACAATCCAGAGCACAAAAACTGAAGCTGTGAGCTGTGGAGATTTCTCAAGTGACAGGAACAGAAAATCAGAGCTTAAAAACTCTAGTTTACTCAAAGCACTAAGTTTAAAAAACACATTATTTTCCGACATAAACAGAGACCCAATTTCCTACTAAGCAAATGCAATGTCATAGTGAGAGTGTAAAGCTGCAATGGTAACTTAAATTTACACAAAGTCAAGAGTATCTCACCTGATGAAAGGATATTACACTGTTGGACAGAGCTGAGCTTTGATGTATCTGGAGAGATGCTCCGAAGGGGAAGTGCACCACATTGTATGGAGCCAAAATATGTTTCCTGAAATAAATCCAGGTGTATATTGAACAGGCATGTAAAATAAATATGAAGCTGCAATTTTTTTTCAGAAAATTTCCCCATCACTGTGTTTCCCTGCTATCTAGATGCTCAATAGACAGCACAAATAAAATACAGTAAATCTGAAGAAATCATATAATCCTAATACTTGCATTTTTCCCAAGGTGACAGCAATTTTGTATACAAGTTTAAATACTAGTAAGAACCAAAAGCAGAAGCATTAAGGATCAAAATAGCCCTATATGGCTACACGCTTGTTACACTCCAGCTCAAGTGATGAATTTTATGCCTTTCCTGACTGCACAGGAAAATAAAGTGCAGAACAACTCCCTTTACTAAGTCAACCCTTCCTTAAGCTCACAGGATCCCAACATACCAAATGCCACATGTAAAATATTTACCTTTTGGGAATTCAGAGGTATATTTAGAGAAATCTGCTCCACATTTGCTTTCTTTCCACTCTTGTAAATACATTGTGATTCATATAGTGACTGGAAGAGACATTTACCTGTATTAAATTTCTGCTATAAGACAAGATGACAGCTCTGTACAAACACATGCTTCAACCAGAAACAAGATTAGATAAATGACAAATGATATCACATTTCTTTTAGCAAGCAAAAGTTACCAACTTATTTGACCAACTCACGACTGTAACAAAAGCTACTTACCTTTGATCTCTTTAACGCAATTACTGCTTCCAGCATAGCTGTTTCATCAAATGTCCGCAGAACTGGCTCAAGGTCTATTAAACATTCTGAACAAAGAAAGAGTACTTTGTGAATGGTTTGAAGTAGAAATCAACTTGTCAGTTTGCTAAAGCATCTTTCTTACATTTACACAAATAATGTGTCTATTGACATACATCAAATCACATGCTGCAAAACAGAAGTTTCCTGCTTCCACACGTTAAAACAGTTCACACCACTAAAAGAAACCCTGTCCTGATCTACCCACCTCATCACTCTGTAACAAAAGAGATCCAGGACGGTGCTGCAAGTCTTGCTTTCCTGGAATGGACAGATTGGTGAGTCTGCTGTGTTTCAAGGTAGACCCATCAAGCCTGATTAGCTGAATGGGACCAAACACCATGAGACCTCAGAGTGGGTTGCTGATTTCCCACTCCAGCAGAGGTGTTAAAAATTTATAATAATAATAATAATAATAATAATAATAATAATAATAATAATAATAATAATGGCCAGTCTTCATGAGTGAAGATCCGGGGAAAGTCTTTACACCTTCCAGCCTGCGCATTGGATTTTTTAGGTGAGACACAGTGTGTGCGGAACTGAGCCCACCCTTTAATCCTAAGGTTCATCTGCCGGGGCCAAGCGAGCTTGGATGGTGGCAGCGAGGTCCTTAGGACGTAGATGGGTTGCCTTTAAGGGCTAACGAGCCCCACCTGCCCGGGAGTGGCCCTGACCGGGAATCGAACCCGGGTCTCGGTGGTGACAGCGCCGCACCCTTAACCACTAGACCACCAGGGGCTCCCAAATATTATTATTATTATAAAAATTTATACAAGGAAAATAAACACACCCCCAACACAGCACTATCCACTACCTGCTCTGAGTCAGGGCCAGAGAGGATGGGATAGTCAAGGCACAGACTATCACATCCAGTGAAACCAAATGGTATTGTTCTCATTCTCATCAAATACAGCAAGTCAGAGAAGCTAAAACCATCTGCTCACAGAAGGAGGCACAGGACAATACAGTAAGGAAATGACCACCTTTGCTATGCTCCCTTGCTTCCAAAAGTTTACAATACTAAACACTGCAAATTTTGAGATGACTATATTATAAAAATATCTTTGAATCTGTGCTCAAATACAACAAAACCTCAGGAAAGGACGATAGGTATCAGAATTCTACTGCATTTCCATGAACTCACTGATTCAGCAGAACTCACTTATCATACTAACAATCCATCACACTGCACCCCTCTTAACATATTTTTACTTTTTACTATAATTTTACCATTCTTCTTCCCTATTAACTTTTACCCACTAGCATCTTCAAGACATACATTCAATATTGGGATTCTTATTTTCTTGTATCAGCTAAACCAGAGTTTTAAAGGCATATCATTTTCCACACTCAAATACTAGTATTGTTAATTTTTGTTGACTATAATTAAATTGTAGGTAAACACTCCAAGTATATACATAGAGATGGTGATAAGCAGTCTTTATCCTCTGTTTCTAAGAGGAACAGACAGGTTAGCTGAGCTTTTCTATTTAAAGTTTATTTAACAAAAAGGGGTTTTTGGTGTTTTTTTGTGTGTGTCTGTGTCCCTGTCCTGGTAACTGCAAAATTTCCCAATAGTGAGCTTTACTTCCCTTAATTTTGCAACAGTTTTGTAACTTCCTCTTTCTTTTTATGATAGTAGAGGAAAAGCAATGATATGTTTTTTTTCAAAGACCATCTTACTATAGACACGGCACTAATAACAGAACCCAAGTTTGGTCACACTGTAGTACATATCCCAGGTAACTATCCCTTCAGTTAATCCCCTTTTTGTTAATTGGTAGAGGAAAGTAAGAATGCATACAGAAATACTATTATGAGTCTATTTTTTTTTTATTTTAGAAAATACTGTAAATAGATACATTTCCTTGTATTTGCTTGAAAAAAAAATCCACAATTTACATACAAATCAGACTCACTCCAACATAACCTGACATTTCAAAATGTTCTTAAAGTAAAAATCAAAATGCCTTAAAAAAATCATGTAATTCATTTTGGACTGTAAACTCAACATGAAGATGCTGTATGTGTTTGGATGTTTCCCGTTTTGTCCTCTGCAAATGGATGCAAAACCCCAAAGTTATGAACACAACCAAACAAATATGCCCCCTCCCTCATCCCCATCAAATCAAATCAAACCCTAAAAGCACAAAGCACCAACTAAAAAACACTGGTATTTGAGTAACTGCATCTTTGAGCAAGAGATCTCTGTACTGTTCTACGTTTGAATACTTTCAGTAACTCTTTTACTCTACATTTTTGTCTCTCCAAGGTGACACAGCTTTTCACACTGAATTAGGACCACATTTTCTAAAGGAGCTGGAAGTTTGTGAAGCCCGTGCAAAGTAAACAAGCACAGCGAGGCAGCCGCAGAAACCACTGTTCACTTCACCACCCTGACATATGTGACCACAGCAACACTCACAAGAGCAAATTTCACAACAGAAAACAGGTAATTCCTCTCTGTTAATTTAGATGGAATTACCTTTATGCAAGTAAAGTGTGCTGGTTAGGTTCAAACAAAGGCTTTCAGAAATAAACCCAAAACTTTTCCAGTTCACACTATGCCACTCTAATCTCTACAAGCTCGCACTTCAGTCTTATTCTCTAAATTCTGCAATCTATTTTAAAAAAGGTTGAACGTAGCTGTATTTGGTTTCATGGACAAAAAGCTGAACATAGAAAAGATGAAAAGTTAACTTCTTGTTTGATAAAGGAGGTGGAACAATCAAAGGCAAAGCCTCAGTGAAATAGATTTATACTGAGATGCAAACACAAGATGAAGTTACCACGGTTTATCTGATGTGCAATGGTTTGTTGGTGTGTTCGCCAACTTGCTTGTAAATCCCACAGTACTCATTCTATACTCACTTCCCCCACCTTAAGAAACCAAAATCCTCTTCCAACAACGAACAAAAAAACCTCCAAACGCAAGTAGTTAAACAAAACATGCTGCTTTTTTACAGTGAAATTAAGAGATGGTAAATGCAAAAGACTTCAACAAACAACATGGTTTTATGGTACTCGTGTAATGCCATTCATAAAAGTGGTGGAATACACAAGGTGGAATCAGCCAAGCCCCTTATCCTAAGAAACAAGACTGAGCATGTACATCTCTTCACATCTTTACCACTTCCCTTTTGCTACTATAACCTTGGTCTGTAATTACCAGGTCCAGCAGAAATCTATTTAAAAATCTTTTCTCATTACGCAAGGTAAACTCACTTAAGAACGATGGTCTTTTATCTGGGTTTTGTGCCCATCCACTTTCCATCAGTCTTATGATGAGCATTCGATGAGGAATGTCCATTGATAAACTTTCTTCACTTAAGTCTAGTCGTTGTCCTTGTGACACGCTGAACATTATCTGCAAGGGGTCTATAACTTCTGTCAAAACAGACATCATGCAGTCATTAGAAATACACGCAATATAAATAGAAGGAATATATGCTATAGAAGGAATAATTCAGTTTGCAGATATAGTATTTACAGTTCATCAAAATAAGTTTATGCTTCTTTAAAAGAAAAGGTATTTTTAATTTATAAAACAACATTGTAATTAAAAAAACCTCAATGAAGTCCCCTGGTACCCAGACATCAGGTTTAACCTTTATATAAGGTGAGAGAAATAAAGGAAGATGTGGCCTTACCTTCAAATGGTCGTTTCCTTGACATCACTTCCCACATGATAATTGCATAACTGTTTAAAGTATAAAAAATATAGAAGACGTTATTTTAGATTACCAACACCTAACAACACAATGTGTTCAGCTTTACATTTTGTTTAAAACATTTTGGCAAATGGTCCTGTGAACACACATGGGACTGACTGTAGCTAACTACAATGATGGCTGAATATATGAAAACTAAGAGGAGTTTTAACCAGTGACTTCAACTAGAACTAGTTAATAAAATTAAGTACAGAAAAGGTTACATGGCACATAAACTCCTATTCCAAATCTGTATTAACTTTGCTCTAGTAATATGTTCTGAATTATGTACATGCAGTTTAAATCTCAGTACATAAATTAAAGTGAGTCCCAGAGCCCCAACTGCTCTGTCCTAATAGCGATACTGTGGCACCTCCCCAGTCCAGACTGACAGTCCCTGACATTCCTGAGGGAGGCTGGGTGTTAGCAGGGAGGATGGCTTTGATCCACACCAAAGGTATGAATTTCCACTCAGGATGCATACTCCAGCTTCCCCTCCCATATATATGCTTTCAACACATGCAATCTTCTCTACAGGAAGAGATATCAGTTCCACACAGCACTCATTTTCCAAAAGTGACTCCTGAGAACACCACTCTGAACTACTGCTAGGAGACTGAACACACATCTGCTGACTCAAACTGGTGACCTTTTCTTTCCATTCACATCAATATGAATGGGAAGTGGTTCAGTGAGTACAAGCTTGCTCCACCTTTAGTAGACTAGTCACTATTCAGCCATCAGGACATATTAGAAAACGTAACTTTAAACAACCTTTAATTTGAATAAGTTTAGATTATTTCATTTAAATAGAGCATGTAATTCCTGGTCCTTTTTTCAAATGCACATCACAAACAAATTTCATCAAAGCTATTACTACATTTTATGAAGCTCTCCAATTTTCTCTTGGCATATTCTGCCATATCTGAATGAAGCTCTAGTCCACGATTTTTCCCAAAAGTCCTAATACTAATGCCACCATTTTACTCAAGTATCTGGTCCCGCTACACAGATTTAGATAAAAAAAACCAGGCTAAAGCTTCTGTGCTTCCTTAACTTCAAAATAAATGTGAGGTGCTGACACATGTTTAGCTCCATGCTCCCAAGCCAAGTCTTTATAAGCATTATCACAGTATTGTTCCAGATAATAATCACCATGGTAAATTGCTCTCAAGGCTTGTTCCATACACTTGGTTCAAATGTAGTGAGCTACTTTTCTACATCACTAAGAAATACCAAATTTTGTGTACATGTAATTTCCTTTAAGCATCTGATGGCTACTAATTAAGAAGAATCAAAAAACTTAAGAAAGAAATAACTGGTGCTTAACATCAACCATATAAATTGAGTTTTTCTAACTATTTATTCTGTTCACATTTTAACATTAATCAATGATAAAATTTATTCATGTAACTTTTAATAAAAGCAGTCCTCCCTGTTAGAAAGCCTGCTTTTTGATGCATTTCTGATAAATTTATGCAGGCTGATTTTTTTGTTCCTTTTGTAAGAGTTAATGCTGCTTGATTGTTGTTTAAACAATTTGTTTCTTTAAGAAAGATCTTTCCTCACAAATTAGCTTAAATATCTCAACAACATTCAGCTGTGGTCAACTAGACATCCAGCCTTTCATTCAACTTGGAATCTCTCTACAATTCAAAATTATTTTCTCAGTTCTACAACGCTGAAGCATTTCCCTTTACACTGTTCCTTTTTTCTTTCTTATTTCTGCTTTATAGAATCTCCTTCTGATAGTGAGTTGTACTGGATTTGTGTGGCCAGGTGGGGGGATATAGGGGTGGCTTCTGTGAGAAGCTGCCAGAAGGTTCCTCCAAGTCTGGCAGAGACAATGCCAGACTACTCCAGGACAGACCCACTGCTGGCCAAGGCTGAGCCCATCAGGAATGACAGCAACGCCTCTCTGATAACATACGTAAGAGGGAAAAAAAGTTACTGCACAGATGAAATTGCAGCCAGAGAAAAGGTGAGAACATGCAAACAACAAGGTAGACACCAAGGTCAGTGCAGAAGGAGGGCAGGAGATGCTCCAAGCACCAGAGCTGAGGCCCTGCAGCCCATGGAGGTCCACAGGGGTGCAGAGATTGACCTGCAGCCCACGGAGGAGACCCACTCCAGAGCAGGTGGATGCCTAAAGGAGGCTGTGACCCCATAGGAGGCCCATGCTGGAGCAGGATGCTGGCAGGAACCTGCTGACCTGTGGGGAGAGGAGCCCATGCTGGAGCAGGTTTTCCTGGAAGGGCTTGTGGCCCTGTGGGGGACTCACACTGGAGCAGCCAGTGTCTGAAGGACTACACCCCACAGAGAAGTGACTCACATGGCAGCAGCTGGGGAAGAACAGTCTCCCATGGGAGGAACCCCATGGGGAGTAGGGGAGAGATAACTCTCCCTGAGCAGCAGCAGGAACAACCTGTTATGAACTAACCATAACCCCCATTCCTCATCTCCCTGTGCCGCTGCGGGGAAGGAGGTAGAACTTGGGAAAGAGGTGGGGGAAGGGAGAAAGTGTTTTAAAGATTTATTTTACTTCTCATTATCCTGCTCTGATTTTGTTAGTAATAAATTTAATTAATATCCCCACTATGAGTCTATTTTGCCTGTGATGATATTTGATGAATGATCTCTCCTGGTCCTTATCTCCACTTATGAACCCTTAATTACATTTTCTCTTCTCTCTCCAGTTGCAAAAGGGAGTGAGAGCACCTTTGCTGGGTACCTGGTGTCCAGCCAGGGTCAAACCACTACATGAGCACAGATCTTCCTATGTGGCCTTTCTGGAGGTGCTTCACTGTCTCTCCACCTTCATGTCTTCCTGCATGAACTGCCATCTTTCTTTCTGATGTTGTCTCAGTTTCTTTTCTTTCTTCTCACATAGTTTCTTTCCTTCCTAATCTATCAGTTTTCTACTCAGTCCTTCTGCTGATCTGTTCTCTCTTATTATCTCCCATTTGCTTGTTATTCCTCTGCATATATTTTTTTTCCTAACAAACGTCTGTCTTCCTAATCTCCACTCACTCACTAAGACACCAGTCATACTTTTTTTGCCCATAATATACCATTTTTCCTTTTTCAATGTTTTCCTAGTCTGTATTTTCTCATCAAAAGATGAGGAGAGCAGGCATGTTGCTATCTGTATTCTTTGGACAGGAACATCAAGAAACTTCATGTGCCCCTTAAGGGTAAGGGATAATTAACATAAACAGAATATGTTAAAATCTAGGTTCAGAAAATCAAATCTGAATTCAAATTTAAAAGCCCACTGGAGAACAGCTTGAGTTACCTGTAGATATCATGTTTCACACTTGCCCGGGTTTTCTGACTGGGGTTGTAGTCTTCAGGTGGCATGTAGATAATTGTCCCTCCTTCTGGCAAAGAGGATTCACTTCGAGATTGAGACATGGATATGACGCGCCATTTGGACATGCCAAAATCTGCAATCTGGAAAGGCCAAATCAGTCGTTCTTAGAAGAAAACCAGGATTCATCTGTTGACAGTTGTTAAAAATTCTTGAAGTATGCCCAGAAGAAGGGGTCACCCAAAGTCCTTAACCTGACACACAAAGAGTATGTGGTTTCTCTAGCAACAGGAAACATCAACTCCACTTCATAAAGCATTCCCAGATCATGACTCATGCTATCCCTCTAGCACTGCCCTATGATGTTCTTTTATGGAAGAACTCATATACTTCACGGCTGAGGAATCTCCTATAGAAATCTGTACCTTATGACAAAAATCACTTTCTTGTGTTGAAAAAAAGCAAATAAAAATCACTGACTACTTCTAGCTCCCTGGTTATGAAGAAAGTACAAGTTTAGTATAAATCATAATAGCTCTACGTAACTGAGCTTGCCAATATTCTGAGGCAGTTCCTCTCTCAGAAAAATTTTCAGGCACTTCGTCTCACTCATGAAGCTATGATATATTAATCCTGAATTAATAAATTTGATATTCTGAAATTCTGTTCTGCAAAAAGCTGCTGAATATTTTCTTTGATGTGCAACTTGGAGCCTGGTCCCTTTCTACAGGTTACAGTACATCTACATAAAGAATTAACTGACTTCAGTTTACATCCTCAGACATCCGTAAGCCAGCATGCAAGACATCAGACTAGGTTATGGATAGAGACACAGCCAGCAAAATACACCTGTTGGCTGAGCTGCAGAGTGTCTGGCATACAAGGGAGCATAAGCAGCCAGCTACCAGCTCTGCACTTGCCTGGTAATTGTGTAAGAGCAAAACCATATTCAATGAAGATGCCTGTGCAAGCACTGTGGCAGCTAAGATATAAAAAATAAGCTTTCTGAAGAGAGTACAGTCAAAATACCCAATGAAAAGTAACCTTTTTTCTCTACAACTCACTCTCATCAAGCCTTCCTCTCTGTAATTTGCCTTAATTCTTGCTCATTCAGTAGATGAGGGACAGTCAGTAGCGCTCAGTGAATGGTGTTACTTTGATACATATGCAATACTTCTTCTATTTGGCATACATGATAACCTTCCTTGCATTTCCTGTCAGCTGTCCTAATTCTAGAGAATCTTGCTTCACCTCTAAAAGACACCTAGAACCCTAAGGACACTCCTTACAGGAGGCAGGGCAAATGTGCAACAGTTAAGCATTTCCTTTCAACTGCTCCAGCAACACAATTGTTCAGATGCACTCAGGCAGAGCACCAGACCACACCGCTACTGTTAGGGATTAAAAACGGAGTGGATAAAAAAATAACCTGGACTAGTCCCCTGATCAGGTTTATCAGGAAGCTCGAGAAATACCAGCACAACTGAGTGGGAGGAGGTATGACCTGCTGAGGGTGTGAGCAGAGAAAAAGCCGCATGAGGCACTTTGAGGCCAAGAAAAATTTCTGTGCAACAGAGAAAGAAGAAATCAGCACTCGATCTTTGCTCACAGGACTCATAAAGAGATTCATCTCATAGTAAAAACTGAAAGATTCACCATTCAAGTATAAATTCAGTGCAAAGTATCTCTTACTTCCATTTACTTGAATAATATATTCTATCAATTATAAAAACAGAGAATCTTAAAAAAAAAACCAACAAGAAACAACACACTCAAATCTTGCAGTTATGGAAGCATGTAACGATTTTGTCAGAAGTACTTTTAATCTTTTTTTCACATCACGGCAGTGATATTTTAAAAGGCAGAATTAAAGTTTTAAACTACTGTTACTTCTCTGTGTATGTTTGCTTGTTTCAGTGTCACAAAAACCATCTTCCAACATGTTCCGATTTCACAGTTGTGTTTTACATGTTCTTATGCTACACTAAGAGAATGAATAAGCATATATTGCATGATAAATATTCAATGGGCTATTAACATTTGAATTTATTTGACCTACTGTCTTCCAGAAGTAACTTGTCTGAGCATCTCAGACAGGCAGACTTTCTATTTTCTTCTCAGAAAGGGCCAGACATAGCTACCCTTGGAAGGCTGACACACAAGAGCGTCACTACTGCTGAGTATCATCCACTGCTATAGCAGAAACAGCCCAAATTCTTTCTTTCTGGTCTTTTCAGATGGATAAAATCTACACTTGAGCAATGTAGTTTTCAAAAAATAAAAAATCTCAGAAGTTCTGTCTGCAAGGATAGAAGAAAAAGTCCAGCATACAATCACATCCTCTCTGTATGGCCAAAACCTCACTCTTCCTCCTCTAAATTAATTAATACAGTTTCACTCATTCTAGATGCTGAAGAACATAAGAATTAAATAACTCTACCTTGACATGAAACTCATCATCCAGCAAAATGTTCTGGGTTTTTAAGTCATGGTGCAGCAGTGGAGGATCCATGTTGTGCAAATAGTTTACTCCTAAGGCAATTTCGTAAAGAATGCGGAATCTCAGGCACCAGTGAACGTCAGGATATGCATCTTTCTGCCAAGATAAAACCACAAACCCGGAATATAATCCTCTGTTTTGATCTAACAGCACAACACAGACTTATTTTAGAAGAAAAAGAAAGTGACTTGGGCAAGCAGCAATCTTTTTAAAACATACATTACACAAACTCCTTAAAAAACTGCAATGGAGCATTAAGACTGATTAGTTGTTAAAATAAATGCATAAATAACACTGCATAAAAGTGTTATGTTTCCATCCCATGGCATTCACATAATAGTTCATGACTGCTATACATGATATAGAGCATTTACTACATTAATCATTCATGTGGAAATATGAATTAAAGATGAACTTCTGCATGAACCTTGCAACCCACAGATTATGAGTACTACACAAAGGAAGTCAAGAATTATATCTTCAACTGACACTGGGGGAAAAAAAAGCTTTGTTGAAACTAAGCACAAAAAAAACCTTTATAAATATTAACACACCTAAAAAAGGGAGTAAACCTCAACTGAAATCTTAAAATGTATATTGACAGTAATGCCTCTATGAAAAACCCACGAAAGAGCTCTCTAATGACATGAGATAGGTATTGATTAAAGGTACAGAAGAGGTGCTGTTGAGACAACTGCAGGAGCTTTACAGTAGGAACAGTGTATGTTCAGGTCAAGATAATGGGAGCTGCTGAAAGTTCAGTATAGGAGAACTTAGAGAATAAGATCTGGTAGGAATATTCACATCTCTTTAGATTAGCAACATTTAGCTTCTATAAACTAAAGTCAAAATCTTCAATTTATTTTTTAGAAATATCCAAATTTGGTAAAAACCCCTCAATATTTATACTGGCAGTAATTCTGAAACCCAGGCTGAAATACACGTAAGTATTTCAGCACCTAACTAGAGAACAACAGAGATTTTTAAAGTGACTCTATATAAATAATTCAACATAAAGCTAGAACAGGTCACAATGTTAAAGGAAAAAGCTCAATAAAACTTAAGTCTACTGAGTTTGGTTGTCTTTTTGAGATACAGAAAAGTCTATCAGAGCACCAAAAACTACTAATGATAATTATTGTCCTTCAATGTGAAATATTATTCATCATACACTTTACTATACTAATTAAGTATAGAAACTGCAATCTATTTGAAGCAGCCAGGTATCTATTTAAAGACTGTAAGTACACTTACCCCATGTAATAGCTGGTTTAATGACCCATTTGTCATGTATTCTGTTACTATTCCCAGAAATTCAGGCTCGTTGCAAATTCCCAAAACTGGCAGAATGTAACTAAATCTGGCTTTGTGTAATATCTCTGCTTCTTTTAGAAGGTGATTTCTATCACTTAGGAAAAAACAAGCAAACAAACAAAAACCATTACCATACCAATACTAGAAGACTCAAAACAAATGTTGGGTTCACTATATTCTCTGTCAATTCTCTGTCCCTGTGTGCAGCACCACCACCTTTCAGCATTTGATTTCTACCACAGTGTTTTGATAACAAAACAGCATAAGACAAATTAAAATCTTCAAATGCAAAGACAAGATAGCTTTCCCGGTTTTGTTGTACCACACAAATCCATTTCCATCACGTTTCATCCATGTTTTCAATAAACAAGGATGCAGTCAGAACTCCCAACTTCCACCATTCTTTGTAATAACCAGCTACATTTGTCCTATTTTACCTCAAAACTCCCCAAAAACTTGGATTTTATGCGTCTTTATGAACTCAGACCTTGCAGCACGTGGATTCGAGAAGCTCAAGTTTTATTTGTGTATGCTTCCTTCCCTAAAAATATTAACTCTTTGGTACGCCTTATATCTCTAATGGTCTTGAAAAAAATAGGTTTGTTGACAATGAGGATATTTGGGTCATAAAAGATATACTGAGGTAAAACATTTAGATCTCACACCAGTAGAGATTGGTACAGGTAGAAGTACGTGACTAGAATATCCAAATACAGGACACTTACAGCACATTTAAGACTGATCCTCTGGATGTGAACCAGTCTGATTCAGAAGCAATAGGGCTGTGCTGGGCCAAAGCAGTGTACAAGCCAGGGCTATGCCCATCACTGCTTCAGCACAGCTCCGTGTTAATGTGGCTACACAGCCCCGGGGAGTGAACCACTTCTGTCCATCAGGGCAGTCTGGACCCATAGATGTGGATCTAGCCCTCATAAAGAAAAGGGTGTCAGGGTACATGGAGAAAAGAGGAAGCCTGGAGAACTAAAGGTTGCTGCTTTTACAATAGGAAAACTTTGACTTTTGATGGATGTGAAATTGAGGTCCTTATCTATGTGACAGAAAAAAGACTTTTATTATAGGAAACTCTATAGGAACACAGCCTTTGAGAAAAGCATGCGACAGAAGATACAACTCTATCCCTTCCTCTCTCTCTCTCTCTCCAGAAAAGACTAGGTTTGAAGGAAGCTAGGGGTTTTCCCAGACAGAAAAGCACATTTGCATGGGATTCAGCTGTAGCTGGGAAACAAATTGCAACATACTGAAGTCTATTCCTGGGTCTATAAGTCACTTCATCTTTGTCTGCTCCTTATAGGAAGGGCACTGAGTAATGCCTAAATGAGTACATGCCCACAACAGCTTCCCAGCTGGCTTTGCTCTTTGGCTGGTCACACACCATATGCTGGGATGCATAGGACAGACTTCCTGTTTACGGAATTAACTGCACTATCAACTCTTCCCTTTTCTTCACAACACTTACAGGTTGGCATTTTATCCTACACAACCAACACATCACTTGCTGCAGAGACTCAAGTATAACAGATTTCTTACAGCTTTCAGTCTTCTGATTGCATTTCTGAGCTTTGCATGATATAAGGTTAGGTGACAGAATTATTTTGATTACCTTGCTTTCCCTTTTCATCATAATTTCACAGGTTAGATGTCACACTAATCCAAACTCTTGCAAGGCTAAAAATAGCACTGGTTGTTTTTCCCCAGCTAAGTTCTGAGGATAAACACCATATTTCTGATAAGCAGGGATTTAAGCAGACTTTTAAACTAAAAAAAACCCAAAAAAAAACCCCACAAAAAACACAACATGCCCTTCACCCCCAGCTTTTCAGAGAACACAACATAACTGAGATTTCAGGCAAGATTTCAGAGATAAAGCCCGTGTATACATACCTGGGTAATAAGAGGTGAAAGAGCTTAAAACAACTTGTCATAATCTAGTATATTGATTCACAAGACCAGCAGCCTTTTTGAGTGAAGTTACCCTGCCTAAAGGCATCGTACTAGATCAGAGAAACCTGAGGTAATAAAGCTGGAAGACACTGAGATAAGACTCAGGAGGCAGGTTTGCAGTCAGACAGGCTTCAGAGAGCCTAGAAGGGGCAAATTTGCACTGATATGGTAAAATCCCGGCACTGTAGGGATTGAATGAGACAGAGATGAATGAAAAATTACTACCTGCTGCCCCCTTACATGGATGACAGCTCCTGTAATAAGCATGCTGCTGCTTGGATCCCTGGAAATTAGGGACCATGACTGCAACACTGAAAATATCAGTTGTACATGAGGGCCTACAAGCCTAATATTTTAAATCAGCTTCTCTCAGTACTGTGAGATCTGGGGAAAAACTAATAATTGTGCATTGTGTCAGAGAAGCTACTTCTAGGAGCTAGAAGCAATCTTTTGTGCATATTCCCTATATTCTTTCTCTCTCTGTAAACTACAAATCTATTAGTAATCACCGTACTTAAATACCCTGCTGATACTTTAACAAAACGGTCAGTATCCAACAGGCTCCGAAAGAAGGCAAACTGTGCCAATCCCACCTTGCGGAGGAATCAAGGTGCACACTGCGTAATAAAAGCCTCCAAAAGAAACAACCTAATTTGTGTCTCGCTGACCGAAACCGAAACTACCCATTTCCAACAATCGAAACAGAGGAAGCTCCGGGGCTGGTACGTGCTTTCTCGTGGCTCAAGTGGCTGATTCACTCTTTATGGGAATCCCATTCCCACGGATTTAGTGCAACGCTGCCTACCAGAACACCAGGACCGATTCACCGACCTGAGAATCCCACGCCGGCATCTTCGCGACGGCACCTCGACCCCTTTCTGGCTGCTTAGGACCCCCTGCTTAGTTTAGGGAAAGGTGGGCTCAGCTCGGTCCTTGCCCCCAGCGATGCCCCATCCCGGCCGACCCTCTCCCACCCTGTTACCTGTCTAGCAGCGGCCCCTGCAGGCATTTGAGGGCCACCGGGACCCTCCAGTCGGCGTGGCGGGCGGCGGACACGGTCCCGTAAGCGCCCCGGCTGATGAAATGCAAGTCCGAGAGTTTGCTGGAGGGGATGGAGGGAAGAGCGTAGCTGATGGTACCCGCCCGGCCCTCACCGCCGCCCCCGCCGCTCATCCTCGCACTCCGCCGGGCGCCGGAGAGCAAAGAGCTCCGCTCCTGCCGCTCCCCTCGCCTCCCCGGCCCGCCTCCTCCCCAGTGCGCCGGCTGTCCGCTCCTCCTTCTGCCCCACCGAGCAGCCACTTCCTTTCACCACGGAAAGGGCCTCCCGCCGTTCCCGCGTGGGTGGGAGGAGCGAGCTGGGGGAGCGCAGAGCTGGTCCCGGCCGATCCCCGGGAGAGCCCTGCCGGGCGGGAGGCTCCTCATTCGGGAGCCGGAGGAGCGGTGCTGGCAGTCGTCCCTCGGCCGTGGATAGAACATCCCCCCACCCCATCTGGGGGGGCATTCCGCAGGCTGGTGAGGGGGAGAGAGCTTCCCTCTCCGTCCGGGAGGCGGCGGGGGATGTGTTAGTTCTGTTCCCGAAAGATGGTGCTGGATGCAGATCGCCGCACTGATTTGTTCACTCCGTAGAATCATGGAATGGTTTGAGTTGGAAGGCACCTTAAAGATCACCCAGTTCCAGCTCCCCTGTCATGGGCAGGAAACCTTCCACTGGACCAGGTTGCTCAATGCCCCATCCCATATATATTCATTGCTCAGGTGAAGTGAGAAGAGTGTTATGTTATGCACTTGCTTATCTCCTGTCTGTACGAGGAAGACTTTGAAGGATGGCGGCATTTCAAAAAGTTAATTTCGAAATTTCCAGTAAGTGTGAGTTCACCCTTGCCCCTGCTCAAAGCAAGCTGCCTGATACGCTGAGGTGTTTATGAGAGCTTCACGTGAGGGTTGCGCAGGATGGTTTTGTAAGGCCTGTTCACCAAGTCAAGTTCTCACAGACTAACAAAATGCTTTAATTTAGAGGTAGAGGTCTGTAGCTTTCCACAAGGAGTGACAGTTCCACAGGATGAAATAGAGGTAAACAGCAAACCTTTCCTTGGGGGTGGATCAGGGGCTAAGCATCTGTGGCTTTTCACCTCTCCTCTTTTCTCCCAGTAATGGATATGGACTGGAGAATTAGGGAAAGGAGCTAAGTTTTCAGACCGTAATATTGTTCAGTGTTTCACAGCACTCATTTTAAGTCATGGCAACTATTTTTCCGTTCTGTCTAAGTCCTAGTACTTTAGCAGCAGGGACTTGCTCTACTTTCAGTTTTCACTTTCACTTTCACCTGTGTCCTTTAGACCCACTCAGTCATTTGAGGCAATGTTTGCAATATGCAGGTTTGGGTATCTGATTATGCATATTCCTCTCTGTATTTATCATGTTGGTAGTACTGTTTGTCATACTGTTTCACCTTTGATAGATAAGAAGGATGTTGTTTCCTAAAGAAAATATTATGCAATGGACAATTACCATGAGCATGCACTACAAAACCACTGTGTAAATACATGCTTATGGTATTTCCCATTAAGATATTATGTCCCTATACTAAAAAATTGTGTTGATTTAATGTATGTTTATAGTTTTAAGTATACTAACTTAAACCCCAAGGGAGTTACTGTGGTTCTAAACCGTGGATGTAGAGGCAGCAGTGTTGGTGCAGTGCCGTGCTTCCCTTGGCATGCCTATTCCTGGCTCAGTGTTCCTGGAACTGTAGGCTTTGCACTTCCTAAGCTCTATCCCTAACAGCAGCTTGGGAGCAAGACTGAGGTCCTAAAGTAGATTAAACTTTTGATAAAACACAAGTTTTTGTTAAATACTGTTTCTAAATGATGGAAACAGTATTGAGATCATGTGGCAGATAAATAGAAGATAAATATTCCTAGTGGTTTGATTAGTGTTGTAATGAATATAATTCTCTTTCTTGAATTTAAAGTACAAAAAAGTAGTTCTGAAAGTGTGACAGCTACGTCCATAAGCTTAGTCTTCAGCTTGCAAAATCTAGAAGGGCGGCTACTATGCAATCAGTATATGATGATACAGACTTGTAAAATGCTTTTCTTTCCTTGTATCTCTTTAAAAGATCAAGTAAAATAACAACTGAAATTAAACACATTTTCCAGACTGGGGTGGTATTTGCTTTCTGAGACTCCTCCGTATGGGCAGCATAAGCTGTAACGAGCTTTCATACTTCTGCTGTAAACAGGTATTCACACAGATGTTTAGAAGCTATGACTGTGTGATGGTATGCAGGATGGATCTCAATCTGGAAGTGTTAACTATCTGTGACCAATTTGGAGAAGACCTGGAAAGAGATCTACCTGTGCATCATTTTCTTCTGCCTCATATTCTTCCACCTTAGCTGCCTTGTCTTCTAGTTCTGTACTTCCCATACAAAGTGACACAATATTCAGAGAGGACAGATACTAATAGCTCCCATGAAACTGTGGCACCTGGACTGTGATGATCAGAGTCTGTCCTGCCTCATAAGTGCAGCCTTACTGTGGCTCTGTCAGCAACATTCCCTTGTTTTGTCAAACTACTTTTCTGTTTTTGCTGCTTCTTTTTGGTGATATTTACAGGTATTTTGCAAGTAGGATCCTATTTATGACATGATTTAAAATAACAGGCTCAGCAAGATGGAGTTATTATCTTGCCCATAAAATTTGGGATGATTGTATAATAAGCTGTCATATTTTTAGCGAAAGTAGTGAAAAAAATGGTAAGTGATTAAAATCAAGTAGCAAAAATGGTTATGTCTCATAAAGATAATTGAACATTTACTTAAGTCACTAATTTCCTATGACCATTTAACATTTAATATCGATTATCAACATTTACTAGATATGACTACCTTGAAGACAGGAAATACTAATCTTAAATGCACCAATTTGTAATACTTAGATAAGCTACATGATCATATGAAGCAGTATAGAATCATGTCAGTAGTCAGAACATGGACTTAGGTACTTAGCCGTTATATATCTGCGCTGGTTTAAAGGCAAACCGGCAGGAGAAATGAACCCAACTCAAAAGAGGTTATAAGTCAGAATTACAATTTAATAAAAATAATACAAGAAATACAATTATACAGATGAACAATTGGTTTTAACCCACAAAACCCCAGATATATAACCTGGCACCCTGGGGCACAAACAGAATGGTGTTCGTTGGCCCCCGTGCTGAGCCCCACATGGGCCCCCTGAGTCCAAACGTAAAAGGAGAGGAAAAACCTGTTGGTGCAAGTGGTGGTCGCAGTTTGGTCGAGGTTCTGGTCTTCCTCTGGATCTCGCAAGTGGTACCAGAAGTCCCAAGACCCCAAGATTATATACACTCAGGTTTGGGCAGGGGTGCCCAGTACCTTCCCCAGGGTGGGGAGTTCCACAGTGGATGATTGGGACTTGGGGGTGTGAGGACAGGAACATCCTCCTATGTCACAGTCCTCTTAACACCCAGTTTATAACCTGAGGGGTCAGGTGTGCTCTGGGCAACTGCTGCAATTGGTCTATTGTTAACAGTTTCTGGGAAATGACATAGAGGGTTTAGAATACACAGTTTGGGTTACACCCACACAGTGATGAACTGGTCCCGGCTGCTCTAACTAGGACAATATCTCAGACAATTTTACTGTGTTTTTACTGTTGGATTTAAACACGACAGACCCTGTTACCTATTAAATATTCTGAAACATTTTGGGGAAAAGCATTATTTTTCTCTCATCTCTTGATAGTTCCTAAACTTCAGTTGTATCTCTACAGTTGTATAAAGGATCCTGTTTCAGAAAATGAGTTTTTATTTAGTAATCACAATGCCTTTGTCTTTGCTTTTTATTTTGTGGATTTTCTAAGCTTTTAAACAAAAAGAGAATGGGTTTATACTAGCCTTTTTAGAAGGAATATTTTGTCTGAATATTTTGTAGTATCCATATTGCAGGAATGGAAGAGTTTTGTAGCAATGTCTTCAATTGTGCGTCTTCTTACTAGTGTGAAATCATTTCCAGTCCTGATATTTGTCTGAAACAAAACATCAGGTGTTTAGATTCTGGCTGAGATCCTGTTTTGCCTGCTGTCACCCTGATGATGTAATGATACACTTGCTCAGATCTGTTAGAAACCAACACCCTCTGCGATCATGTGTGTAGTCTCCTATCAGCTTTAACCAAATCCTCCTTTGTCAGGTGAGCCATTCCTGAACATCTGAATTCTTTTGGAAGTTATTACCTATTGTTTTAGATGTCTGCTAACACAATTTTTTATTAAGAGGTCTACACGAAAGTACTTGTATCCAGCTATTACAACATGTTGACGCTACCCAGCTGACTGAATCAAGGGGCAGAGCTTCTGGGAGCTTTTCTAGTGTTTGGAGGGAGGGAGGAAGTGCTTGGGGTACGATGCTTCTGAGTCATCCTGGGTTTTATTTCCATACTGTGCTATTGCTGGTGCACATATGTGGTGACATATCATGAACATAATGTCAGGATAATGTCTCTGGTGTTCTTTTGAAGATAAATGGCATTTCCTTTCAGCATCAGCAGTTTAACAAAGCCACCCCACACTTGTGTAATTTCAATGTTTATTTGCTATTTTCACTGAGCTTCCGTGTTTCTCCTCTTCCTTGTGGGCCCTGGGCAACTTTAGGAAGCTAGTCCTCTTCCTAGCCACCAGCTTCTCACGAACCCAGCGAACCTCTCTGTGTGGAAGTAATGCAGAGAGGAAAGCTTAGCAGAGAAGGAGGAAGGAAAAGAGATTTTGAAGGGTTCTTCTTGGACACAATAACACTGTGGTACTCTGCTCTATCTTTCTCAACATGTGCTTGCTTGGATTCTTGGGGACCATGTGGAGTCCAGGTTTATCGTAGGTGCTGAATCCAGTAAACATGTGCTGGATCATTACTTAGCAACAAGGCCAGCTAGCACAGGATGACAGTCATCCATCAGAAACAGAGAATCTGTATCAGAAAAGCCTGTTATGGATAGTTCCTAGTTTTAATTCCTGAAGCATGGAGCTTGTTTAGAAGAGTGCTATTTCTTGTGAGCCAAAAGGGATTATTCTAATAGAATTCTAATTTCTGGCAGATGAGTACCTAGGAGCGTTCTCTGATGCTTCTGACACTTTACAAGGCAGGTAGTATAAGATATTCAGTGGTCTGCTATGTTCAGG